AACTGTCCGTCGATGTGAGGCACCATGTCGTTAAGATGTGAGGATGAGACGTCTAAATGATGAGTTCAAGTAACTGATTTATAGAAAAGAAAAGACAGGTAGAGGAATGCGAAAGGTTCCGTGTCTGTTCGTTTGGCGGGAAAAATTTCCGTACTACGGCTGAGTTTGGCGGCAAAATATGTTGTTACGACTGAGTTATACTCAAGACATGTAACTATTATACGGCTGAGTTGTCAAGAATTATTAAAAAGGACAGGTAAAGGAATGCGAGAGGTTCCGTGTTTTGGCGGGAAAATATTTCTGGCTACGGCTGTGTTTGGCGGCAAGATATATTCGTTACGGCTGAGTTACAGACAAGACATGTAACAATTTTACGGTTGAGTTGTCAAGAATTATTAAAAAAAACAAGTCAAGGAATACGAAAGGTTGCGTGTTACGGCTGAGTTTGGCGATAAATCGTCCTTGTTATGGCTGATTTAAATCACATTACGGCTGAGTTGTCAAGTAAATGACATGAAGTTCAATTCGATTTACTGACTAACCGAGGTACGGTTATATCCGGCACAATTACCAGCGGTTTAATACGCCTATAAAAACGGCTTCTCCCATAAACACCAGAAGGCTAAACTCGCACAAACAGAAGCTAACAAAATATTTCTTTAATTTTCAACGACTCGGAATTTCACCATGGGTTACGACGGCCTCCGCGACTTGAATCCTTGCATAACTTGCTGGACGATTTGTGTTATGGTTCTTAGGAAGTACGTCTCGTTTATCACAGATAACTCATTCGAACTACGGGTCGTCTTTGTCGATGAGTGGATAATGGGATCTTCACTCGTGATACAAGGCATACTTAACCTTCTGCTTGTCTTATTCCCTATATAACTCACCCTCCAATTTTGTTTTCATAGGGTATCCAAATTGAAGCTATAATCGGAAGTCGGTTTTCTCAACGTTACTACGACATGCTTGAAGAGAATTAGTGGAAAGAAATCAGAACTTTTGGTGTTATCGAAAACTGGGGTTTTGTCCGAACAACAACCCACAAATACATGATTGAGTTCATGAATGCAACTGAGGTAACTCATTCCGACCCAAGGGAAACTGTATTATTTAACAGATTCACACCTTTTGACTACATTATTGAAGACACCGGTGATACTGATAATTTGGTCGGTAAGTAATACGTATCTAATGCAAATTTCATACTTTCACAAATCACATGCCTGTTTTTAATCTTTATTTCATACTCCCAGATTTGGTTGGTGCACTCGTCGAGGTCGGATGTCTGAGAAATATTACAGAAGATGGTTGGGAGATGGACGGATTCAGACTTACCTTCCAGATTATGGACAAATAGTATAATTTCTTTTGTTTCTTTACTTCTAAATTTCTTTCTTTTCATCATGTATTTTTCTTGAGTTAGCTTAATTGTAAGACTGTTTTATATGTTTCAGTAAGGAGAGGTTGAAATGTGAGGCCTCTGGCGAATTGGCGGTTGACTTGCATAGGAAATTTCGATATTTTCGCAATGACAGTATTGTTATTGACAATATATATGTTGCACTCACCTGGTGGAAGATCTTCAGGTATCATCCTGGCCCCAATCACGTGAAGATCCAAAATCATGCCGGGATATCAGATGTCACTGTCGACCCCAATATCGAAGAAGTGCAAGAGTTAAAAATGGTCCTCGAGTAATGGAAGATGGAAGGAATCGGGTTATTACCATTGTTTACTTTTCATTCCTCCTATGTATCCTTCAAACAACTATTTATGGGAACTTCATTTTGTCTTTGCCTTCAAAATTAAGTTTGATAACTCAGCCGTACCATAATTAAATAACTCAGACACTAAATAACATAATACGAATATAACTCAGTCGTAAGTTAACATAGTTTATCGATAACTCAGCCGTAACAGGTAAAATGAACTCAACTCGGCCGTAACATGTAAAATGACCGGACCTTTTGACTTTCCTAATTATATAACTCGGCCATAACATGTAAAATGACCGAACCTTTCGACTTCCCTAATTATATAACTCGGCCATAACATGTAAAATGACCGAAATACATACCACTGTTGCCAAACAAGGGAAAGTAGACACATACAGAGTACAAACAGTACTATGCACGGCAAGTTTTAACATTGTGCCCTGTTTCTTTACATCGAGAACATGCGTGTTCCTTCCTAGGGCGTTTAGTCTCAACGGCGACTTCTAGTGCTGATTTCATCCTTAGTTTCTTGGGCCTGCCTGGCTGGTTCGCAACAATCGGAGGCAAACACGGTTGGTCAATTACAATTTGAGGAACAGGGACTTCTGTATCTGAAGGCATGATTGCACCAGCGTACCCATTGACCAAATGACTGCTCTTATAATAAGGACTGCACAGGGATATACGAGACACACCCATATGCTCTGCAGCTGCGATTGCATGGACGCATGGTAATTTCTCTTTGTCGAAAAGACGGCATGTGCATTGTTTTTCATCCACATTTACAACATGCAAAGATGCTCCATAAGTTACTTGAACGCGGGAAGCATCAATCGTTTGTACATCCAGAAGTCTTGACGAGTTGACGCGGGTCTATTAGAGAGAAGAGACAAGAAACAAAACAAAAAAGTTATGGCTGAGTTATTCCCTTTATGGCTGAGTTATTCTCGTTATGGCTGAGTTATTCTCGTTATGGCTGAGTTATTCTCGTTATGACGGGGTTATCGTTATTCGACGACTGAGTTATGCACTAGTTACAGCTCAGTTACCTGTAAGAGTTTTTCAACACCACGTGTGAGCTGAGTATGCTGTTTGCTCGCATCATCTCTCTGTTCAGCAAACCATATAGTCATCATTTGTCTTATCGCTTCTAACAGTCGAACTATGGGAAGATTTCTGGCTTGTGACAGTGCTCTGTTCATTGATTCCGCTATATTCGTAGTCATTAAATTGTATCTATCACCGGGGAAATGAGCACGCGCCCACATTTCAACACCCGCTCTTTGAAGGTATGCATGTAGTAGAGGATCAAGCTCTTCAATCTCGTTGAACGCGTTAGTAAAATCATTCAGCCTATAACACCTTGCCGCTTTTTTCACCAGAGGGAACAAATCTTTTCTTTTGAATTTTACCAAAATGTTCTTATAGAGATGGTAAGTACAAATCCCACGAGCAGCCAACGGATACACTTCACCAATTGCTTTCCCTATTGACTTATGTCTGTCTGAGATTATCGCCAGGTCCGTTGCATCAGGAATAACAACTTTGAGTTGCGTAAAAAACCAACGCCAAGAATCATCATTTTCAGTGTCAACTACACCGAAAGCTAACGGAAAAATCTGAAAATTACCATCCTGAGCAAGGGCTGTCAAGAACGTCCCTTTGTAACTACCATGGAGAAAGGTATCGTCGACAACAACAACTCTGCGCATGTAATGAAACCCAGCGATACTGGCACCAAATGCAATGAACATATAGTTGAATCTTCCACTCTCATCAATTTGAAGACGTGCGACTGTACCCGGATTTGCCCGTCTTATCATGTATAGGTAAGAAGGCAGTTCTTCAAAACTACTATCAGGGGTTCCCAGAGTGAGCTCCCTTGCAAACCTGAGCGTCTTGTATGACTTCGAATAACTCATCTGTTAACACAAACATATTAATCGATAAGTCAGCCTAAACTATACCACAACTCAACCAACAAGTGATCTTAAGTCAGCCTTGAAAGTCATAACTCAACCAGAATGTAATTATATGTCAGCCATACTATATCAATAAGTCAACCGTAAAATATCTATAAGTCAGCCAGCAGATAAATAGTAAGTCAGCCGAAACATTGTAATTACCTTTACTCGAAAATTCTAAGTGATGATTATTCCGACTGATTTTGGTTTAACATCCGGACCAACGTCACCAAGATAGTCCCTGTAAAGAACTCCCAGAACATCAGGTGTTGCTTGTCGGGATCGACCAGAACGTTCCGTCACAGAACATGTGTGTTCCGAATCGTATATATAAACATGAAAATTGGGATCATTTCCTTGTCTAGATGCACGAACCCTCCAAAGACATCTATCCACCCAGCACTCGTAAGATATTGTAGTCTTATTAGAAGTTGGTACATCAAAATCAAACCCATCCCTTATCGCAAGAAGTTTGAGTCGATACTCCAAATCGAATTTGCTACGGTATTGTTGGCCTACCGCGAGTGTTAGCGTAGACAGCTCCAACTTTAAATCAGTCAGGCTCCCAGCAGATCCGATCATTTCCATGGTCTGAGTTCTCTTCGAAGGAGAAGGTTTCGGGGAATCTTCGTCATTATTATTAGGCTCGCCGTATACAGCAAAGTCTTCATCATCAGATGAGGCACCATCGGAGTCGTCGAAAAAATCAAACCGGCTAGAAAATTCATCATCTTCTTCTTCGTCGCTTGCTTCTTTGTCAGATGCTTCATCGACACCTGATTCATCGTCCCTTGCTTCATCGTCCCCTGCTTCATCGTCTTGATAATCGTAACAGACACCTTCAAACCCCCGACCCGGAACTTCGAATCTAGATTCTGCTCTTGAGTCAGATTCAATAGGGCGTTTCGAACCCCTTCCTCTTGATCCGTCCTTCTGACTAATATCACTTGAATCTTTCACCATAAACTCCACACAGAGACGTAGCTGCTCGAATTTCGTCAAACCTAGATAACATTGCAACTGTCGATCATTGGAGATATAAACTGGTGGAGTATCGAAGGGCATAGTTTTCAGAGTCTTGTTGGAGAACATGTAACTCAGCCGTAACTGATGGGTCGACTGATTCACTCCGTAATCATCGATCACCATCTTCAAAAGACTATCGTAAACTGCTCTTTCCGCTTCTAGCTGCACAACTCTACACTCTCTTTCGTCGGGGTTAAATACGAATCTCTGTTTCTTTACCCACGAACCGAAAACAACTATGACCGTAGCGGGACCAGCCATATCAAGAGAAAGATGAAAGAAATTGAAGATGTATGAGAAGATGAATGAAGAAAAGAAAGTTCCGGTGATGTTGTAACGTTCATGCGGTGGACACAGTCTGGGAAAACGATTTAAAGAAGCAAGGGACTTTTCGTATTTCCGTCGAGGATGCTGACATGGAATGATGACATGGATTATTACAGCCGACGCCGTTTTGAAGTGATGACGTGGCAAGTCAGCCACCAAACGAACAGTTCATAATACAGCCATGAAGCAAATCTTTAAGTCAGTCATAACATGAATACTATTACAGTAATTAAAACAGGAAAAAAAACAAAGTTAATTCAGCCGTGGTATGTCGTAACTCAACTAACTCAACCGTAAAGTTCAACAACTCGGCCATAACTGCATGATATTATAGTAATTAATCTTTTAAAAATAAGTCAGCCATAACATGGCTGAGTTATATCGTAATCCAGCTATTGGCGGCTGATTTATATCGCTCGACCATAACTCAGCCGTCACATCTTTCCATAACTAAGCCACTCAAAACTATAACTCGGCCGCGTCGAGGAAATAAGTCAGCCTTTTTCTCATAACTCAGCCATATTGTTGGCTGGGTTATCGTATAACTTCTTATAACTCGGACGACCATCCTTAACTCAACCATACTGTTGCCTGAGTTATACAATAACTCAGGCAACATTTTACAACTCAGCCGTAACGTCTGGTTGAGTTATACTCATACTTCACCGTTTTGTTATGACTCATATATTTTTGACGTAAGTCAGCCGCAACATACCGCCGCAACATACCGTAACTCAGCCGGCTGAGTTCATTTAATCCACGTCAGCAAATTCTGACGTGGCAGTGGCATTCCCTGTAATTACGTTTTTTCTGGTTACGTTTAGTAGGGGCACGCTAGGTAATAAAAAAAACTCAAAAATATAACAGTAATTAAAAAAAGTTCTGTCGTGTTCTGGTAATAACACCTAATTTCTTACCCATCACAGTTAATCTCCAAAAAAATAAAAAAAAATAATTAATTTGTAAAAGCTATTTGTGATTCTCCATTGGTAAAAAATTACTCGCCCATACATTACAAAGTTAGATATTAGAATAATTTACATATTTTTAGAGTTATCAAACATTTAATAAAATGAAAATATGTGTTCTATATTTTTGTCTTATTTTCTTTTCAAACATCACAGGCTGTTCTAATTTATTTAGATGGAAATTTAGTTATATATACAAATTCAATGTAAAATAATAGGGTTTTTTAAAATAAATCATGAAGAATAGTGTTGCTAATTTATACTACACAAATCACAATCATAATATAAATTTAAAAATAAAGCAAATCAATCAAACAATGTTTCATAATCGAGCTTGTTCATAATAGAATTTGATTTTGCTTTGACATTTGGCTCTTCTGGACCAACTGTCAGCAGCTGATACTTGACCAAACATTCCTCCCAATAAAACTTAAGGAACCATTTCATCAATTCCGTTTAAATCCTCAAAAAAAAATCACTTTCAAAAGAACTGTCCGAACCCTCCATCTCCTTTATGACAATGGTCTCAACCAATGTTACCGATATATGACTCAGTTCTCTAAATACTTGAATCTTTTAAAGTGTATCGTATTATAGACATCAAATTAAATTTATTAAGCTAAGGGTCAAAATGTAAAAAGTATTAAAATAACTAAGTTAATAAATTAAACTTATGTGTTTTGATAGAAAAACAAGATAATATCAACATTTAACTTACGATCGCCTCTATATGTTGTTCAATTTTATCTTGCATTAAATCGAAGTAACATATGCTTCGTATATGATATTTTGTGTTGATAAAGATAGAGTTATCAATCATCGGTAATAGACTATGGTACAAAATTCTCTAATTGACAACATAAGGGTTCAGAAAGAGAAGGCAGTGGTACAAAGTTTGAAAAAGTACTCCCTAATAGACGGATTATGTGCATATAACACGATCTAACAAAAGGCAGTATTGAAATTATCAACAGTATCATTTCTTCTTGTAAAAATCGATTTTATATTGAGAATTTTGAGTTATTATGAGAATTGGCTGGGAAACAATACATCTGAGTCTAATTAGTTTTTCAATATTTCATTCTAAAACAGAAAAAATATTAGTCCCTCTTTTTGCCAAAAATAACCTTATACGTTTTTTCATTTAAACACGATAAATTTAATATATGAAACATCAATATGTTGTCCATGGATGTCCAAAAAACTTTACAAACCTATGTATATATCTTAAACGGATCATCTTCTTTGTGTGTCGCCATCGTTCATCTTGAGCCATGATCAAACAGAGCATCGGCATGTAAATAGAAGAATTTGCTGGGATTTGTCAATCAATACCTTAAATTCAATAAGATTAGTGTTGCTATTAGGATGGATCTCCTTAAATTCCAGTGATAATTTAACAAAATCTGATGAAAATGCTATGACTGTTCGACGAAATCTGGTAAAGATTCGGTAATAATTCGAAGAAATCTTGTGAAAACTTGAACACAACTGGTGAAAATCTATCGAAAGTTTGACAAAATTTATGATTGTGATTGTGATTTCAATGTCAGATTGTGATTCATTATTCACTTGTTCTGTTCAACACAATGGGATACGATGGTTGTAGTTTTATTTGTAGCGTACATACAAGTGAATTAATATTATTAATGCTTTATATTTGTGTTTACATTAGTACCGGCTTAGATAGGAGGGTGAGAGGTGCGACGGCCGGGGGTCCAATCCCATATTTCAATAATGAGAATATTACGTGATTAGACACTTTTTTGAAAGTTAGTTCCTAATTAGACACTTTAAATGGAGAAGTCACTTTAGATAAATTATTTTACTTATTTACCCTTTAACTACATTTTTTCCATCGGTCATCTTTTCTCTCTCCTTTTCCCATCTCTTCTCTCTTTTTTTCTTTTCTTTTCTCACTTTATCGAAGAAAAAACATTTCCCACAATATCTTCAATTCCAAATCTGCAATTAATCTCCAAACCCACTATACGCGATGGCTTTCTCTTCTCTCTGGACTAATTGGAGAATACGAGGTCTTGGTTTCTTTAAGATTGTGATTTATTTTGCAATTTAAATATTTGTTTTGACATATATTTTATTTATGGGAATGTGACACGTTTAGGCACTTTTAAAGAATTTTATTCTATTTGAGGCACTTTGCAGGGATGAGGCACTTTTTCATTGAATTTATGACAAATTTGCCCCTAGAAGTAAAAACGAGAATACTTTAGCGTTTGAAAGTTGGTATATGATGAGTGGGTCGTTGGATGGAAGTTGTAGCTATTATCAGATTATATATATAATTTAATTACTCAAAAAAGCATAATATATATTCTTTCTCTATTTGTACCTTTTTTTTTCTTCTTTTTCTTCTTCATCGTCTACTTCTTTTATCTTCATCGACTCTTCTCCTTCTTTTCTTTCTCTATCTATCTCTTTCTTCATCTTTCAGTCTTTCCTTGCAAAATCAGACATGAGAGACTTTCTCAAAATCGTGTAGCTTTTGTATTTTCCTTTACGGAGAAGCCTCTCTAGATTTAAGTAACGATTAGGCTTATTCGATTGGTTTCGGAGCGGCAGCACTTGTGACTAACGATGGAAGCTTGAGTGTAGCAGACAGTAACATCTAGAGATGAAAGAAGAAGAAGATTTGTTCCCTCAATCTTACAACCAATCGATCCAGGTTTTGCGACGATTCTTCAATTCTACGAATAGAATTTAGAGTTTTGTTAGATTGTGTAAATATTTGATTCATATTAGCGAAATTCTGTTTGTGAAGACGATGAGATCGGTTGCAGATCGAAAGTTCCTCTTTCGTTACTCTCCTTTGTTTCAGATCTGTTGCAAGAAGGCGACGAGAGAGGCGGTGATAACGTAACGTGGGACGTTTCTCGACTTACTTAATTTGGATTTTGAAATTCCACCTGAGAATTTGAACTCTCTCCCGAAAAAGAAGAAGAAATCGCAGCGTACATGGAAGAGATTCCGTGAGAACAAAAATTGTTAGGAGTAACCTCGATATTACGGGGTTACGGAGATGCGAGGTCCTCGTTACTCTGTTCTATTCCATGGAGCACCAGATTGGCAAATTCCAGTATTGAATTTCATATCCATATGATCAGCTTGTTTGGTACCATTTGATTCTAGCTTGATAAATTGATGTTTCGTTGAACCTCTAAGCTAAGAGCACTTTACTTCGCACATGAGAATAAATCATTTCCACATGGTCACATCTTGTTGGACAAGTTTTCATGGAAACAAACTATCAAAGCATCCAACACGATTTCATTATGTATAAACTAATAATCCTATAGGTCTTCAAGCCCCAAGAACAATATGTAGACATTGCTTTCAAATAGCAACACTCAAAACCCAATTAGTTAATGATAGTTTATATCCATTATAACTTGTCCAATTAGACTTTAACATGTGGAGTAATGGTGAAACATGACAAACACTTGAACACAAATATTCATGTGTAGAGCTTTCATCAATTTTCTATCGAATGAAAAAGAGTGTCATGGTGATGCAAGAATCACAACTTAGTCAAAACAAATCATGCGTCTTTTTCTTTTTCAACACAATATCCACAATAACAATACATTACTTACATAAAAGAACGAGACCCATCAAACATGCTTTCATATAAAGACAAAACCATACCAACTAAAACCCAAAATCTTATTAACATGTTTTCTTTCACGTATTCTTTTCTCTGCATTTGTTATTCTTATCTGATCCATAATAATGTGTCCATTTCAAATGTGTTCATACGGAATCTTGTTTACTAAGCATATACATTCTACACGAAAGTTAATGTATAAGTCTGCTCTTATTCATTCAAGACTCATATAATCAAAATTCTACACGAATTTATTTGTAAAACTACAATCATCTTAAGTGATTATGTTCCTCTTGTGTATTTCTTTCATTTTCTGTTAATTAACCAAAAAGCAAGTTTGTAATCAGATACTTAGTTGAAACTTATGATACCTAATATGTCTTGTTTACTAAAATATATAACGACTCTCCCTGTCAAATGTACAATAATTCATATCCATCACCCCACGTCCATACAACCATGTCTACACCGTTGTAGAATCACAAATACACAATTTCT